CTGAAACTCACTACAAAGGAGCAGGTGATAATTCTCTCTATGTTCATCACTATGAGCAACCCCTTGTCACTCTGTCACACATTCCATTACATTTACATTAGTAAAAAAAACATTTCCTTTAACAATTTTTACTTGTAATAAAGCAATTTTACACTGTGGTATTGTTAGTTTTACTGAAGTAAATGACTTTAAAAAGAAACAACTGTACTAAAACAGTGCTTAAAATATACGATCTGGAAACCATTGTTCACAGTAGCTTCTGCATGATGCAATAATACACGATGTAAACTAGAAATCAATGATAAATCCCCTGCAGTGTTGAAATAGCTGTCAATTGTATCACAGCATGCAGACAAATGTGAAGACAGATGGGTACAACAGGGTTGTTTGACAGTGAGGAAGTGTACTGGACGTGTGTGTGAAATGCTCAAATATTGTCTCCTTGTCATTTTTAGACTTTGTTCTAATACGTTTTCCCAGTGGCCATTTCCTGTTGGTCTAATGATTGTGGGGCCAAATGACAGTGAGATGTGGGGGAGGCAGACTGCTGCAGCCCAGTGCTGGAAACATTTGGCCCAAAACTCAACACAAAAAACCTCCCACCAGAAATCTAAGGTTGTTTGTGAGCAGTCCTCCTCCCAGGACACATTTTCTATTTAACCTTTAACACATAAAGTGACTCAGAGTAAACTATCAAAGCCCTGATAACGAAGCACTGACATCAGAATAGCCAATGTCGACCTGTCACATATCAGCATGACACTGAGGATACAGGATACAACCGGGCTATAGCACATGCAAAATTGTGCAAAGAAAAAAATAATAATAGTTAAGATTATTCCAGCTACACACCCTTTCAGATTGCGTGATCTTGCTGATTATCACAGGAGAATGCTATTTGGGCGAGACCTAAAAACTCAAAACCCGGTCCTGGAAAATACCAAATTTAATGTTTGTCTTTCTGAATATAAAATCAGGATATTCTCAGCACCACCATAGAATAAAAACACATAACTAACATGGATTTATCTACTTTCCCTGCAAGTCTGGTGCATGTAAAAGCAGGTCGCTAACACTGCAGGCCTTGTACCAGCCTTGGTTTAATATCTCACTACTACAAAACACAAAGTCTAGCTCTGAACTCGCAGAGACTGACCGGGAGACTCACATTCCAGCAGAGAGAGAGAGAGAGAGAGAGAGAGAGAGAGAGAGAGAGAGAGAGAGAGAGAGGTCTGACTTGGAGTAGAGCCAAGACAGTTTTTCTCATGTGTTTCCCCTATAAGTCCTTTGTAAAACAGTACAGTACAAACCAGACTAACAGAGGTAACAAAACAACAGCTGCTAGCAGAGCATTATTAGTACATGTACATTTAAACTTTGCAGGCTGACATTAACAAAACAAAACACACGTGGATACTTTTGGATTAGTTGCTCAGCACATACCAAGGCACAAGAACACACACAGACATACACACATTTGCACACACCTGCTCCTCCACGGCCACATCCCGCAGGGCCGGGCCATCCCGTGGGCCTCGGATCCAGCTCAGTATCTGGCCCATGTTGGCTGAAAGTGCCTCCGAGTCTGTGTGTGTGTGTGTATGTGTATGTCTGTCAGCCTCTGCCTTGTCTGTCGGCTTGCAGCATATTTCCAACACACAGGGAAGGGAACAGGAAAGAGAGAGAGAGAGAGAGAGGGAGGGACTGAAGGGGGGGGGCGTGGTCGGGGAGCAAAGGGGGCAGAGAGGGAAAGGTTCAGATGTGGAAGTTGCGGGGCCATAATTCTCTGGGCTATAAAGGGAAGTGAGCTGACCATGGACTGACACCGACCTGATGAGGGGCCACATCTGAGCTGCTTCTCAGGAGAAAGAGATACTACACACATACACACACACACACACACACACACACATACGCACACAGAAGGGGACACATGCATAAGCCTGCATTGGCATATGTGTAAAACAATTTTTTTGCAGTGTACTATATCTAAAACACTCTTATCCGAACTACTTAACAAACACACACCCAGAATTTTGATGACATACAGGCCTTGAGCACACACTGCCATAGAGACGCACACATGCTTATGTACACACTTCTTATGTACACACAGCAATAAAAGATAGCTTGTGCAATCCTGACTGCCTAATTGCCTATGAGAATAAAGGGAGGGGCCGGTTTTATGTTACATCTGCGTCAAACTATCTGTCAAGAGACTGAACTTGAAAACTTTCAGTCATTATCCTACGCTACACTGACATCATCACTTAAGGATAATAGAAGGGAATGATATTCATCTGGTCACCAGGTCAGAATGTCATCAATCGATAGCCACTGACTGCACCAATGGAAGACTGTTATCTGTGGCAAATGGAGAGGATTTCATCATGATTCTGTGTACCAAAACAGAGAAATAAATGTGTTTAGGAAACAAGAATGTAGGGAGTGTTTTTTACAGAACACATGACTAATAGATTTACTGAAGCTTAAAGCATGGGTGTTGGCTTAAACCCTCACCTACAGCACTTGATATAATAGAGATACTTTACATTTACCTTTATTTGAACAACATATTCAGCAAACTACAATAGTGGAAAGACAGCTTTACATTCTACCCTACCTTTTATTATGAAATACAGAGAGTGTGGAAGAAATGTATTCAGGTGTATTTGAAGCCGCTACTTTGCTCCCATTGTTTTCATGTCATTTACAGAGGAGGCAAGTGCAAAGTGCAATTCCAGTCATAACTCTGAGGCTCTACCTCACCTATGACTTGGGTGTATTGTGCAGCCCTCTGGGCACTTCTTGGGTGGGGTGTGCAGACAATGCAGCCTTTAAATGAGTCACAGTGATGCAATCAGTCTGTGCTCCCACTGCAGAGCCTTCCACTTAAGTGTTTCAGGAGCACACCTTAAAGCTTAAACCAGCTGGACATGAAACTCTGGTTTGCGAAACTTACTACATGCACAGTTGGAGCTGTGAGTTGTCCCTTTAAGCATGATGCAAAATAGAATTAACTGGTATTGCAACCTGAAACATCAAAGTATGATATGATAATGAAACTATCAAATCCTTGTTGGATTTATTTACAGTATGAAGACATAAACACATAATTAAATATGAATGATTAAAAGACTTAAAACATATACCACTAGACTGCTGCATTTTTGAATTTGATATGTGATATCTCAATAATACAAAACTAGTGAATGCAGTTATTTAAAACTAATAACTATTGAGTGTTAAGTAGAATTACATGATATCTATCTTTAGACCTTCCATATACTTGCATGCATTCCAGACGTTATCAAAATGTGAGGCGTGCCTCTCCAAGGAGATTCAGGAGATTTCATGGGGAGTGTCAGCCTTTACAAAACTTTACAAACCTCTACTGTATTCCATCTGATAGGCTGGTGTGTTCACACACAGCAATGGAATGAAGTCACACAAGTCTGTTTTTCTGTACCTGGTGACTTAAAAAAAGACAAACAGAACAGGCACATTCACAACCCTACAGTATGTACATAAGGCAACTACATTTGGGAACGCACTTGCACATGTACAAATGTTCATGCTTACACAAGCGTATACACATGCACCCACAGGTTTTTGCACATCCCACCACAGCATGGCAAACTCCCCATCAGACAGACACACCTTTGTCAATGTGAAGTGCCAAATGACCCAGCCTGTAAAACTAGCTGGTGCACCATGGGAAAGACCTTAAACCATTGCACTGCAACACTTTTTTGGTATGAGGTGGTAATGCAAATTAGTTTTTTCCACCTGTGACTATAAGGTTTTCACGACAAATGAGAAGTTTTGGAAAAAGGAAAAGCTGATCAATAGAACAGAGTTAGGTAAATATATTAGCAGAATGAAAACAAATGAATGACTGGCCAGTGCCACATAAGTGTGCATACAGTGTGTAACTTGACTCCTCTGCTAAAGTGGCACTCTTCTTTATATTTAGACCCATGTCGTACTACAGTCACCACCAACTCCACCACAGCAGTGCAGACATCACCACCTCACACACTGGGTCACCTACAGAGGGGCCTGACTCCAGAGACAATGAGGGCTTCTACACCAGTTTAACCATTTGTAGATACACAACTGTTAACTTTTACATCATTGTAGAGAGACATTAGAAAATAAACCTTTACTGGGTCAAGGGGAAAGTCGGTTCTAGGAAATGAAAACTACACATACATACTTTCATAGTAAAGATACACATGATTGTCAGTAAAGATAAAAAGTTAAAGATAAAGATTAAAGTGGCTCAGGAATGTCCTTAAGAACAAATTAGTTCAAGAGTCAAAGAGAGGACTTAAGTGAGATTGTGCAGGGAATCAGTAACTCTAAATTAACAGTCATCCACAGTGAGCACACTAACAACTTGCTCAGTCAGCAGGTTTGCAGACAATGTACAGCTCTTATCTGAGGAATCAGTATTTTACCAGCTCGCAGATTCTCAAGGATGACTGCACTCAGCAGAGGGAGACAAACACAAACATAGAGTTTCCTTTGCCATCCAGCACTGACCTGTACTTCAAATCAATATGCACTCATCTACAGTTATTTGCAGCAATTATGTAGTAGTTATTCAAACATTTCTGATATGCAGCTCCTTTTTTTTTTAGGTCCTAAATTCTCATGACCAACAATTGGAGAGTTATCATTGTTATGTAGAAATTATATACTTCTAACCTATTTCATTTCTTTTTTTTTTAATCAAAACTACATCAATCAAAGGTTGGAAATCAAGCACAACCCTGCCTGCTTATCAAGTGAGCCACAGGTTGAGAAACTTCAGCTAGTTTAGATTTTTCACTCCCCCAATTTCAAACTCTTCAGCAGAGTTTCAATTGAAAGTAAAACTTGGCAGTAGATTTGGGCCAAACGTACTCTGTGTTAAAATCAACCTTCTGTGGCGAGAGGAGGTTTCAGGTTTCACTGTGCATCTATGAGACAGCAAGAGGAGGTGAAGTCAGTACCTTGCCATAGCAGGACCCTGAAGGGGGATAGTAGGCTGAGGACCTGCTACTGTGATGGGCTTCAAGTGGAGAAGCAGCGGCTCCTCCTCGCTACACACACAAACACACACACACACCAACAAGTTTGTTATTGTAAGAAGGCTTTGAATGAGTTTTAGGCTATAAATTCAATGGAACATCTACAGGATGCAGTGACCCATTGTGTTGGTGGTTTATCCATTTAACATCTGATGAAAAATGCCCCTCCTCACCTTGTTGCTATTTTTGCCTTTTAAATCTTTGTGAAAGTCTAATGCAGATAAAACAAATAAAAAGCAAAAATGCTCATGTTGGCATTTCATTATATTAAGGCATTTGTGTAAGCAACAATAACTGTACGCCATTCAAACAGCACATTTGAATCCTACAAAATGAACAGTATAAATAGTTTGGGATCAATAGCAAGACACTGCAGTGCGTTTTAATATCTGATCCCAACTGGGAACTAATTCAAAGCTCAAACAAGTTTGCGTGTTAAAGCCTATCTCAGTTTGAACAGTCACACACCCTCATGTATAAACAATGCGTATGACAGCATATGGGCATAGCCCTTACAATAATTTATTTCATTTCAAAGGTTATCCTGTGCAGACTATGCCAAGTTTTAAAGAGCATTCAACAGAGCTTATATCCATTCAGACTAGTTTTGCTGGTTGACTGCACTAAAAGCACATAGGCAGTGTCTCTCAAGGTGCCAAGGTTTACGAGGTATTATCAAGGTGTTTTGCCAGAGGGACAAAGAGAAGAGAGAGGGGGTGAAAAAGTAGCAGATGTACTCACAAGACTCATCCAGTACGCTGCATATGCCATGAGGGATCAGTAGGCGAAAACACTTCAGCCCTGCACTACCACTCTCTCCTGTCCTCACCACAGCTTTTCTCTCATGCCTCACCAAACATTGTGCCACTCCCCACACACACCACACACACACACACACACACACACACACACACTTCAGATAGTTACATCACACCAAACTGTCTCCTAGTTCTTATTTATCTCCTGACTCACTGAGGTTACAATACACTCTCATTTTTCCAGCAGGGTCTCTGGTTCTTCCGCATAACCAAAGATTAATCATGCACTGATCTTCTATATATGTGTGTGTCCCACCCCCACACTCCCATCACCACACACACCACCACACACACACACACACACACTTCCAAAGAAGGAACTTTACACACAATTATTGTTTGATTGTTTCCAGCTAGAACAGCTACAGACAATAGCTTTCCAGCCTTTGGCAACAGGCAACAATGATCGACCAGTGATGCTGACTTGTATATCTTATATTTATTACATCGATTCAGCAGATTGTTTATTGTTGCCACATAAACTCCACAACATGCGCAGAACATTGTTTCCAACTTGTGGAACAGTGGATTACAATTCATCCACTGCGCCTATAATGAGCCATTTTGGAGATTATTTGCATCTTTAAACAATTGCTGAAGTTGTGGGGCACGGCAGTTTCTGCCCCGTGTGCCTGCCAATGCAATAACATAAAAATAACTTACTTCTTCTTTCGCCTCCTTTGTGTGTTTATGGTGACCATGGCTTCTCTTCTTATGTGGCATCTTTAAAACACGGATGGGTGAACTGTGAAAGTTTCCTTCTGCGCCCTCAGTCGTCTGTAGGGAGTCTACACAGTCTGATCTGCCCCCTGGAGCAAATTAACTTGCCCCTCCCGCTGAAAAAACTTTGGTGTTTGATGATTGATCAAAAGTAGCTGGCAAAAGCGAAATGTTTCTGCAACACTTGTGTTAGTGTGTATGTATGTATATGTGTGTGTGTGTGTGTGTGTGTGTGTGTGTGTGTGTATTTAGGATAGAGCTGCCGCAAGTAAGTTCTTGTCCTTCATCAGACTGAGGTTGTGGCTGTGTGATGTTCAGCCACAGCCACACTGACTGTACCATTTGACACACATTAGATCATATGAGGATAACAGTGCCAGTGTGAACTAATAGGTTTCATAAACTGTATCCGTGCATTGTGCTTGAAATCCACATACCACTGTTAACTTGGTGCAGGAAGTGCTCTCGAACTGCATTTTTTTTTTTTTTTTTTTTTTTGCCACGAAGGGACCCGCCCCACGGTGGAGGGAAGAGTTGACTCACCGCTGATGTTTATCCTCTTCCTCTCTGCGAGCTGCTGCCTTTATGAGGCACAATGCTGCCCTCTGGTGGGGGACACACCGAGAGATGCACTGTGCGGTGTTCATTAAAATGTAAAACAAGCATATTAAAGCGCATTCATAGTGCTACCGTAGAGACAGTCTATACCAGTAGATATATACTATTATATATGATATCATTAGTTTATTATGACTCTTGCATTAATGTAAAAGCAGGATTTTACTGTTGCAGCTGGTTGAGGTTGGGCTATTTTTGAAATATTTTCCATAGGACTTTTTTTCTATTTACTATTTTCATTATTGATTAATCTGCTGGTTATTTTCTTCATTAATCGACTGATTGTTTGGTTTGTAAAAAAATATCTGAAAATAGTGAGAAATGCCACCACAATTATACCAATAAATAGCACAAAAAATATATTTAAAATTAATAATAATTAATAGATAAGTCCTGAACCAATAACATTTTTGTGCAGGAAAAATTACTTTAAAAATTATCAAAATAATATCAAGAAAAACTTTGCCATTTGCTAACTGGTTAATCAGCTCAATAGAATTAAAATATATATTATAGGGTAGAAGCAGACTAGCTTCTCATGGCTTACATTATATGATTTTTTGTTAAAATACATAAAAACGTTAAAATCAATTGTCCGTTCATTAGTCGATCAACAGAAGATATATATCTCTCTTTCTTTCTCTCTCTCTCTCTCTATACATATATACTGTACACTGTATATAGCAAAACATTATATGACATAACATTTGTATTTTCAGTCAGGTGAAAGACATTACATGTAGTGATGACACTTCTTCAGTCTGTGGACAAATAATCTACTAAAGTCTAAACAAGCCAACATCCAACAGTGGCCTAATATTATTATGAATAATATTTACTTTCTGCCACATAGTTCCACATCTTAAATTATATTTTGTTCAGGTAAGACTGTTGTTGTGTTTATGTATCTGCAATGCCAGTCTAAGTAGTCTGATTGGATTGGAAATGTAAAATATATATTTTTGTTATAATAAATCACACAAATACATTGTATTTTGGTTTCATTTTGCAATAATGACAGACACGGTACTTTTCAACACATGTATCCCTATCAGTTGCTTACCATAGATGTTTTGTTTTTGTTAGTCAAACATGAGAACTTTTAGCATAAAAAGTGGAATATCTAGACTTTTACAATAAAGATGAATAACACATGTACGATGTTTTTAGCAGTTGTCAGAACGACACGTGAACTGATATTTCATTATGGTATGTTGCATTTGATTGGCGCACTTCCTGTCTGATCTGCCTCCTGTGGGGCACACAGACTTTTGCATTGTCATTTATCTCTGCATTCAGCACAAACAGCGTTGATGTCAGTGATACAGTGGGGATAAGAGGTGTCCATCACTCTGATGGCCTTCAGAAGAATCCATCTGACCTTCACACTTCCTGATAACCGTATGAACCCCGTCACTTCCACACATAAACCAACAGTCTATCACCTGCAAAGTGATGCCAATCTGGGTGACACCAGAATGACATTTTTACAGCACCTTCTGATAACCGATGACATTAGTACAACGGTGGTTGAGCATTGTTGACATGAGTGAATGGAACCAATTCTTGACCTTTGCTGATTTTGTTTCCAGTGTTACTCATACATGCGGCATTTATACAGTGAGTTATTAAACAAACAATGCAGCGTTGTAGACTGAATGTGCAACTGCTGCTTCTTCACTAAAAGAACTGACTAAAATAACTGACTTCCTAAAGACACAGTCAGTTAGTCAGTAAATATAGGAAGTTGTAGGGGCAGTAAATATGGATGGATCACTGGCCCTCATCAATTTACTGCAAATTAAAACCGATATTTAAGATTTGATTTTAGAGCTTATTTTGAGGAGTAATATGATCCATCCTGTATGCATAGATATATATGTGTATGTATCTGCGTTTATTTAAATATGTATGGTTTTGCTTTTTCATTCCAATATTTCTACAAAGGCCTGCTTTGGGAATTTTTTATTCTTCTCTTCACTGACCCTTGAAGCACTTCATAATTGTGTCTGTTTTGAAGATTGCTACATGAAATTATTTCATATTTCTTACACTGAAAGCAGAAATTCTTCTCTTCTACTACATGTTTAAATTCTGTGATTGTGATCCAGAGAAGGGGGGATTTGGCTCTGCTGATTATCTCGTATCACTCTTGTATTTAATGTGACCCTGTCTGTGTGCTTGTTTTACACACTGGTTTATGATGTTGTATCTGGTTTTGGTGAGCCGAAGACAACTTTCAACAATATAGAAATATTATATTATATTCCAGCCAAGCCTGTTTTTACTTTATTTGCTTAGTGCACATTGCTTTTGTTGACCCTCTTGAATCTAGATTTCACCCTTCCATTAAATGACTTTAAAATATGAAACACTTTTCCACTCTCTTTAATAATGTCAGATATATATTCTGTGTGACTACCTTCAGTCTACAACTCTGCATTGTTTGTTTAATAACTCACTATACAAATCCTGCTAATATGAGTAATATTCCAGCACCAATCAGAATATCATCAAAGAAATGTACAGTGAGACCATTCAGCATTCTGCAGATGTCATTCTATAGTGAATCTTGTTTTTCTTTACAAATATTGTGAAGATTTGTCACACAGTTGCTCTCCGATGGCCGCAGTGACAATGATGATGGCAAGATGAGGGGTTGGCATGGCAACCGTGTGTCCTTGTTGAGTGTCATAGGCAGCTGATTTCACAGGTTTGGCGAATGACATGGGAGTATATCAACCCCATTCACTGGTATAATGCGTCTCTCTTACTACACAATGATCATGTTAGATTACACTATGCTGCTTCATGATAGACTTCAGATTAGTCTACTTTTTAATATAATTCTATTATCAAACCATTTTAAAATGATGTCTTTTCTTTACTTGAAATTGAATTGGAATTTGCAAATGGATGTATATAGAATCGATGTACAAAATGTGGAAACATCAGTAGCTAGAAAATACTGTAATTGTTACTGAAGTATAAATGTACCGTGAGATCAGTGTGGAAGGGCAGTTGAAGTCTTTACATCCATTTGCCACACCTAATTGATTTTGGTTGAATTACTGTCTGTTGAGGTGGCTTCAGTCAGTGCAGCCTTATCTACGTCATCCTCCGGCTAAAAGCTGAGACTTTCCTTCAACGCGTGTCTCTAGAGCTGGAAAAATAATAAGCTGATGAAACAGGTTCAGACCTCTGACCTCATTTGATGAAACTGTGCATTGGTGGGTGTGTGTGTGTGTGTTCTCAGTGGAATAAGGAAAAGCTATCAGGTCTGTAGTGAAATACACACCCACAGAGTAAAGACAGAAGATGAAGAGAATCATTGAAAATAAAGACAAGGATGGGCTGCTCAGTGATGAAACCAGTGATTGCCTATCTTGCTAATATTTCTGTGGCTCTTCAGCTGTGTGTTTCTGTGCGCCTGAATGCGTACCTTGCTCAAAGCAAACAGTTGTTGCTAGGTAAACGTGGATTACCCCCCAGATCTGGTGCAGACCTGTTTGCACACGGCCAGATGACCGAACGTATCAGTCATTATTAGTTCTGACAAGTTTAACTCACAATGCCTAACAGGCTCACTCAATTTTTAGACAAATATTGTTCATGTGAATTTAACTGGAGAGTCCTTTTGTGTAACAGTGCTCTTATTGTCGTGTTTGTGGTTTTTTTGTACAGTTTGTCTGACATGAACTGCACCTACACAACCTCCAGCCGAGAGACAGAAATAACATAGACTCTTACAACAGCTTTATCTCTGGAGCATTGTACACCCATGAATTGAGAGCCCGCTGACCCATTGTTTCCATCAGTAAACAACTCAAACAGCATCTGATGCTGGCAGTATAATTGTCATAAAAACCTTTCAACAATTGCCTATAAACACTGTTTGATTTAGGATGACATTTTAACAGCAGGACACTCTATTTTCTATTTTTTACATTGAAAAAACATAGTCTTTTAAATACAGATTTATTTAGTACAGTCCAGTATTTTCAGTCCCTGCGCTGTTTTGATATAATAGCTTAAATATGATCCATGGAACATTATGGGAAAATACATGTTTTAGTCTGTATTGAGTTTTTTCTTATTAATTCTGAATACCAGTTGCATGCAGCATTTTGTTTGTTCTGGACATCAAAACCACCATGATTTCCCCTTTAATGCTTGACTTACAACTATCACTCCTATCTCACATACAGTATAGATATTTGTAGGACTGCATCTTGCACTAAAAATGTTAATATATATAATAATAATATAATATATATTTATATATTTTTTGCAACACTGCATATTTACCCATCATAGGCTTTTGCAATTTTATGAAATTTATCATTTTTTTATTGAGTCAAAAATGTGTTAGTTTCGAGTCAAGCCAAATTATAATTGCTTGTAACCATCTGAACCTTTCAGAGATTTCTGAATCACTGTACAACTTATCATACTTATAATCATCAACTCTCATAAGTCTTCTTTCTTCTATTTCAAATAAAGTCACATTATAGAGTTTTTGTGTTTTTATGTATAGCCTATATCCTTTCTGTGATAAAAATAAAATAACTAA